CAATTCAGATGTTTAAACAAGGCATAAAAATACTTCACTGAAATCCCAGCAGCTCCGAAGGCTGAAGCAGGAAGATCACAAGTTCAAAGCCAGTCTCAGCAACTCAGTGAGACCCCCGCCTCTAAATAAAATATGAAGAAGGGCTGGGGATATGGCTCAGTGGATAAATGTCCCTGGGTTCAATTCCAGGTACCAGAAAAAAACAACAGTTCATTGAACTTTTCCCCTCCCCATATAACAAGGCCAAGACACCGTTCTGAGAATAAATCTTATTAAGAAAACTGGCTAGTAAGACATTAATGTATCTGATAATTATACTATTCAATACTGATGTAAGATCATTGCTATGGCAGCAAGACCAAATCAAGACAAAATTTCCAGTTAGAGAATAAAAACAGTTTAATTTTGTCAATTTCAAAACACTGATTTGTTTTGGCAAGGGGAATCAAGTACTTGTAAAAGAAAAGCCATACAGTAACAATGACAAAGTAGTACAGTAGTTTAGATAAACCTATCTTTAGTAATAAGCAAACCTTGTATGAACATCAAGATTCCCCTTAACTTCTTTTAAACATTACTAACACATTGTTGAAAGTGAAGTTGTACAAAGTTTATATGTTTGTTTTCTCCAAAGAGATTCTCCTGGGTAACGAGTCTTCCTCATTTTTCATCCCCTGGGACTAGATAATCATGCCCAACACTGATTAAGCATTAAGCCCCAGTTAATATTGATTAGATTATTATCCTCTACAACTGGGGTTCTTAATTCAGAATAAGAGGGGTTTCGGCATCACCTAGAAATCATTTCAAAATTGTTTTCAGACAAAATGATTCAGTTAAGCTCAAAACTCTATGTAGCTATTCTTTAAAAACTGAGCATTCTGAAATTAAAATCCAACTGTTAAAACCCACACATACAATATACAGTCGGATTTGTATACACTAATAGAAGCTGCTATTTTAAAACTAGTACAAAAGTCAATCTAGGATTTAAGAATTTGAACATTTAGTTTCTTCAACAGAAAGAAATCATTATAGCAAAATGCTTTTGAAAATCCTCAAGAGTTTTATCTTGGATAACAAGTTGCACCTGAACTTAGAACTGACATACAGTTTTTCCCAATGCTAGCAAGAGTATTCAACTTTACATCTATGTGATTAACAAAAACTAGAATTAGTAGCAGATGAGCCACAAGAATGAAAGAGAGGGATAGTATCAGCCACCATTTTTCAAATTAAACAATGAGGTTATTATATGATCACATCACTCAGTTAAGCACCTATCCTGCATAGTAAGCCAGCTGTAAAACCACCTTAGGACCATATAAAAGAAACATTCTCAAGACTCAAGTGCATCCAGCTTATAGACTGGTAGACTGGTTGAGGACAGAAAGTGTATTTTGCTCACTTTAAGATGCCTCTAACACTTAACTGACACGTGGAAGTTTCTAGCACTTAAAAAATTAAACTCACTCCTTTCATATATTCTTTTTTTTTGTTTTTTTTGGGGGGGAATTTTTTTAATATTTAATTTTTTTTTTAAGTTTTCAGCGTACACAACATCTGTTTGTATGTGGTGCTGAGGATCGAACCCGGGCCACACACATGCCAGGCGAGCACACTACCCCTTGAGCCACATCCCCAGCCCCCTATATTCTTAATACACCAATCAGTTATAACTAGTTATAGTAGTGAAATCCCCATTTTTAAAATATCAAATGGGTAAGAGAAGCTTACTTCAGGTGGAAATCTGATTTGAACCTTAGTTACTAGCTATGGGACTAGATAAGTAACTTAACCTGTCTCTAGCCTGTTAACCTCATTTATAAAATGGAGCAAATACTCAAAGTTAGAAAGTGTTCAATATATAGTAAAGGCTTTTATCAGTAGCAGGTATATGCAAAGTAAACCTTTTAAAATGACAAAACCCAATAGATCATTTACAAGTGTAGTAGTTAAGAGAACACTAAGGAACCAAATGACCTGGGTTTTGATCCCAACTCTGCAACATATGAAATTAGGCATTTTCCCCTCAGCGTCTGTAACAGTTTTCTGATTTCAAAATAGAGATACAAGTGCACCTACTTCCTTGTTTTAAATTAGTTAATACAAGTTTTGTTTCAAATAGTTATACTGTAAATTATGAAAACATGAGTTTTCTTTTAGGTTTGGTTCATGTTTGATTTTGGGTAAAGTTTACAAATATCCTCAAAACATATGTACTGCAGTCATTTTGTTTAATGGGAGTGGTACAATTACCTATGGCCCCAAACACCAATCATTTTGGAGTTCCCACTTTTTTGGTTTTCGTTGCCTAATAGACCTACTTAAAACCACAATACAGGTTGGTACAGATAAAAATTACAACAAAAGACAAAGGGTAAGATTATTTGATTGGTCTAAGAAATAGCCATACTAAAAAATCATACTGAAGGAAAAAAAATTGTTCTATGGCTTGATCAAACAAATTATTAAAGGTTCAAAGTATTCCAGTAATATATTTGTGAAGAATATAAACATATCTCAATATCTGTCTTGGGGCACTTCAGATACAAATAAATTCAAAGTAGGTGAAAGCACAACAAAAATCATACTGATACCAATGGTTAACTTGATTCCTTAAGAGGAAGGTTAAAAGAAAAAGAAACCCCTTCAGAATTGTCCCCTCAATAAAACTTTTTGGACCTGGGAATATTTTTTAAAAGCTTCACATGTGGTATATCAAACCACAAACAAGTTAAAACTTTCTACAGGTTGGATCAACCATGTCCCAGAAACACTGGTTCTCCAATTTGGAAAGTGTTTTATGTCAAGACTCAGTCTTATATAATTCTTTATAATAGTTTGAACAAGAGATAAGCTGGTATTAATTGCTAGACTAGAAATCATAGTTAAAAAACAAACCAAACCTGTTCATGTGATTTATACACTGATATTAAAAAGCAATAGTATTCTTTTGTAACTATTAAGAGTGACATGCCAGAGGCCTGTTCAAAGCCACACAGTAACCCATGTGTCCTCAAAAATACCTAGAAACTTAAGATTTCTTTTTACTGCTGGCATCCCAGTGTCTAGAACAGTGCCTAGAAATCTATTAGGCACACAAGAATTTATTGTTAATATATAACAAATACCCATCTAATAAAGACACATGGATAAATCTGCTCCGAGCTAAAATTCTAATTGAAGCATTTCTCCTCAATGGTCACTCTATCATTATGTTACTGCCTCTCTAGAGTTTTTAAATCATTAAAGTAGTGTCACAGCAGCTGGGTATCACCTGTAAAAGAAAAAAAATCAATGAGACCTTCCTTCAAAGTGTTTTATTCCACACGGATAAAAATGTGAGATTATTCTCCACTGTAGTGGCCTGAACTACTTCCAGACAAAAAATTTTGATTTGTACTGAATATTATGTTCTCAAGTATGCTGTAAAATAAAACTAGGATCCTATGTAAGTTTGCCCTCTGGTCACTTAAAGGTTATTATTTAAAAATAATCTTTAAAAGTCTTAAATCCTAAAAAGGTCTTCTTCCTTTCCTTTGCTGTCATTTCAAAAAACACAGGTATTCTGCATCGACCCATAGTGACAATACAATTTCAGCATTAGTTATCTTAAGAGTTAAGATTTCAACTTTCATCAAACAGCAGTTTTGCCAATCAAACTCCAAAGTTATATTTAGTAAATGCAAATTAAGCAGCACTGAGCCTGTTTTGGTAAAGTCAAATCCTTGCCATTCCTTCTGTAGAATTCTCTTTATAAAGTATCCTATCAAAACCAAAGTTTTATCCTAAAACCTCCCCTTGTGTGCTATCTTCTAGTAAGGCTGAATTTATTCCATGACATTTTTTTCAAGTTAGCTGTAAATACTCCACCCTCCTTGATTGTGCAAGAACCAAATACAGCACACATACACAAGTTACACAAAAGGTAAATACAGTCTGAGAGTATGAATTTAAGTAAATTTCGAGCAGTGGGTCTCAGAGCAGGGTCCAATCCGATATAAAACTTAACACTTAACAAAGAATATTATTTCATATTATTACAAAAGGAGATGCCGGAAAGGGCCTGAACCAGTTAAAGCAGCCGCCATCTTAAAATGCGGGACAGAAGTTAGAGCAAGAAAATGAGACTAAACCACCGGAGGTGGAGGTTCCGCTCACCCCCAGAGCTTTGAGAAATCCTAGCCTTTTCTCAACTTAGATCGATAATTTACTATCAAACCACATTTCAAGCAGCGAAACAATCCTTCTTATAGCTGTTATTAAATGGGCAGAAGCAAAAAATAGGTACACCTAGTTTCCCTTTACTGCCATCCCCCCTTCCAAGCCAAAAGAAAAAGGGAGCTTCCAGAGGCTTTTACATCAGTTCCCGGTGCCTCGGAAAATTAGCTTCGGGTGCAAGCTGCAACTACAAAACATAGGAAGTGGCAACACTGTGTCAGTCCACCTCCTCCCAACCATACTCATTCTTGTGTAACCTTTCCTGAGTCGACCAAGTTTCATTCACTTCAGCAGGCCAGAGTTCCACCCTGACCCTCAGTAAAGTTCGGGACTCACAGCTCTCCTCATTTCTTAGTTTACTACCTTTTCTTTTCCCCTCGAGAAAGCCTAGAGCCTTTATCTTAGAACTAAAAAAATTTTTGAAGAACCAAGAATACGAAGCATCGTGACATCTGCTGGAACGTCTCTCCGCAATTCCAACACCTTAATCGGACTCTGAGTAGAAAATCGAAGCGCCTCAAGTCTCTTTTTCTCGCTCACAATCAGCACCGATTCCAATGAGACATAGAATAACACCTCGCTTGCCACAAGTGTTCTGTTCCCCAGTCTCAAACCTCATTTCATAAAGCATATCTTCTTTTTCCACCTCCCAATGAAAGAAGTAACCCCAAGAGGTATTTTCAGAGTTATACGTCCCTTCCACCCCCACGATTTCCTCCGGGCCCAGGTCTTCCTTTCCTCCCACGACCCCATTCCTTTCAGTCCCAACAATATACCTTATTAATCCGTTTCAGCGCCATAGTCTGTGCTTTTCGTCTGGCTCCTCACTATCTCGGTGTGTGCTCAAAGGTCCGGCCAAAACTCTTGATTATCCGGGCGGCGGGGAAGGATTGTCTCTTCGTCTCACACCGCTGTGCCAGACACAGGCGCCTTTTTGCAAAAACGGAGCAGATCAGCACTTGCACTGGCCCCGGAGAGACCCTGAAGATTCCAGGTCCCTTAAAACGGTCGCGATCCGGGGTGGGTGGGGTGGCAAAGCCACCAACAGCCTCTATGCCGTGCTTCGGACCGAAGTGGGGGCGAAGGTGACGGGAAGAACGGAGGGGTGGCTACAAGTTTAACTTCCCGGTCTCTCCAAAGGAAGAGACCCGGGTGGGTGAGGAGGAAGCGTAGGAGAAAGGGGTGGGTGCGGGGCAGGGTCCGGAGCCCAGCAGAGGAGGAGCCGGGGCCTAGTCGGCGCTATGCCGGCGTCACTAGGGCAAAGAAAGGCAAGGGGGGAGGGGGAAACAGGAGTCTCCGGACTGACGCCGGGCTTCTTTCGGTTTCGGCTCGAAGGTTTGGCCGGGGTAGAAAAGGAAATGAAGAAATAGACTTAATGTGTGTTCCTCTCCCCGAAGCTATAGCTATTCAGTGTCGCCCCTGACGCCACCGTACACTCCGCCTTCCAGCGCGCTCGCGCGCGCGCCCGCCTAGCCACCACCACCGCCACGCGCCCGTGCTGCCCCTGAAGCTCCGGCTTAGGCGCGAGGACGCGCCCATTCCCCCTCCCCTTTAAGTAGAAGAGGCCCGGGTTTCTCCAGCCTCCCCGCCCTACCCCACCCAACCCAACAGGCTGGCCACTCAAGCCACCCAGGGCCCGTATTTCCCCTCTTACCCGGCCGGCCAGTGGGCCGGCCTCCCTTCCCTTCCCCTAGCTGTCCACACCCACGCGTACAGAGGGGCCGGGGCCTCCCTCAAGCTGCGGCCTCGGCCTCCTCCCCGCGCGGCAGCTGGTGCCTCCCCGGCCCTACGGGGCTCACGCGCACGACACAGCCACAAGATGTCCGCTCTGACGGAACTACTGCCAGCTGCCACGCTCCGCCCCTCCCCCCTCCTCCTGCCTCTTCACCGCCGCGTATCAGTCCGCCAACGCCGCCGTCGCGAGCACAGGATGAATTTAAGGGTGAAGGGGAACGGTTTACTTCCCACGTCCCTGGCCGAGCGAATCTGTGCCACCCCCTTTCCTCGTCCTTTTCGGAACAGCCCCTTCTTACTAAACGGATCTGAGGTTGGACTGGGAGGGCGGGGGACGGAGGCGGGTCATGGGCTGAGGGCGGGGGGAGACGAGTGGCGGAAACAGACTCAGAGAAGCATCGAGAACCGGAAGGAGACCATGGGAGGAAGGTAATGAAAGCAGCAGCTGCGCGGTGCAGTCCCACGCCCCTCCCAACCTCGTCCCCTAGTTTCCTCACTTGGTATTGAGCAGGCGGGTCTCGCGAGAACCTCGTGGCCGGCTAACCGGAGCTGCAGCTCTGCAATGACTTAAGGGCAGTTTTGTGCGCTCTTCCTGACTGGGTCCCGCCCCCAAATCACAAATTATCGCGAGATGCCCTGGGACGCCGGCTGGAACAGGGACAGGTCGCTGCCGGGGAAGCACCGCCCCTGAATGCTTATGCTGGTGGGAGGGAGAGGAAATGGAATTCCCCCGACTGATCTGAGCGCGCGCCGACACATCCCTCGCTCACGCGCCCAATCAGGAATGTGCGGTGGGAGGTACCAGGGATTAACTAGTAGATACCTTTAGTCAAGGTTGAGCGGAGTTTCTGAGGTTTCCGGTGGAACAGGTGAATGGTATTTACTCCCCCTGCTCTCGTGGGCTGGCTACCCAGCGAGAGGAGGCGCCTAGCAAAATAGAAACTGTAATGTAAAATAGACCCAGGCCGACAGCTGATAGCTTTCCCCGGTGCCGAAATTAGTGCATTTCTAACCCCAGGGGCTCAATACTGAGAAGAGCAGGCCAGCTCGAATCCCAGAGTTACAGCAGCTTCGAAATCCTAATTATGAATTGAGTAGAGAGGGGAGGGTTAGGGGCGGGCCATTTCTACAGTCCTTCGCCACCACACGGCAAGGTTTAGATGTGAAAACAGGCTCAATAGCCCCCCCCCCCCTTCTCTTGCCATGTTTCAGTTTTTGAGCCAGAAAGTGGTGAAGCTCCAAGAAATCAGGTAGCGTTTTGGGTTAGAAAAACTTAATACTTAACTGAAATATCGGCGAAAGGCGGGGGTGTGCAGATAGCAGTGGCCTATTTTAATCTGCTGGGTGTAAGGTACGAGTATTTTTGCTTTTCAGTGTATCTTTCAGGCAAAAAGTAGTAGGACCTTAACTTTTTATCTGGGGATATAATTTAGGTGTAGAGCACTTGCTTAGCGAGTTACGAATCTCTGAATTTGAGCCCCAGAACCCTCCAAAATTATATATATATATATAGGCTGCTTGAAGCTCCTCAATGATCCCACTTACAAAAGGATTACATAGAAAAATACACCTGTTTTTAAAATATACTTGATTTAGAAAAACTATTGCAGAAAGTAATAAAAATTTCACAGGTTAGTGATAAATGGTCTAATATACTGTTCAAGTGAACATATAGTGAACTAGAGCAATTAAAGAGTGTTTCTCAAACTAATGTCAATAGAAGTCACCTGGAGTTTTGTTCAAAATGCGGATTTTGATTTAGTAGTAGGGGCTGGAGCCTGAGATTATGCATCTTAAACAAACTCCCAGGTGATGCGGATTCCTTCCCCACCCCCTTACACCGATTTGAACCATTCTGTAAGTGCCCCAGTCATGGCCTACTGGATACCTCTGTCCCTTTCCTCTGTTCCTTCTTGAGTAATCTTTATTGTTCTCTCCTCTAGCTAGCCAATTCACGAGGTTAGGCATGAGGGTGGAGGGAGAAACTTAGGTTCTAAGTTCCTGCTGGTTGCTTCCGTATGTGTGATATAGGTCTGGTTACTAATCTTCTATTTCTTCACTGCTAAACTAGATGTAATAATAACTATCCTTTCACGTGGAATTATTGTGTGGTTCAGATGTCATAAAGTTGTGAAAGGACCCTGAAGACTTCACAGTGTTGTATACATGTTAAGTTATTAAAGTAAACATTCAGGCATTAACTGGCCATTTTGTGAAATAAATGTATAATAGTAATAATAGGTATGGGTAAAATTTATGCAACTTTTACCAGGTATTGTGTTTATTAGCTCCCCTTTACAAATGAAGAAACTGAAGCACAGATTAGGTTTCTATCCTAAGTGATAGAAGGAGAATTTGATTTCATATGCTTAATTTAAGAATATTTATTTCATAGAGTAACATGTTTTATATTTCTACTTTAAATGTCATCTGAATCTAACTTATTTCTCCTATTTCATTTTTTTAGAAGCCAGGGTACAAGAATAGTAGGAAACATTCCCATTTACCTAAGGGGAAGTCATAATATCCAGGGAGGTCCAAAAAGAAAAGCCCCAGAGAAACCAATTTGAGTTACCTTAATCTAAACAAGCTTCAGTGTAAAGGTATGATGGAACATTACTGCTGTGGATTAACAGAGCACAATAGACTGGAAAAATTTGGGGTCAGAGTTCTTAACTTTTTTGTGCCTCAAACCACTTTGACAATCTGATAAAACCACCCACCATTTTCAGAATAATGTTTTATACATGTATAAAATGAAATTCATTGTATTCTATATAAAGAAAAACATGTGAAATACAGTTATCAAACATTGAGGAAAAACAAACTTGTGAACATGTGCTTTATTTAAAGTAAACATATGCTTTATTAACAGTAAGGAAGATCTAGTGGGGGGGGTCTGATGAAGACCAAAGTTTTGAAATAATAATGAACTTAAATGACATTTCCAGAGTTTGCAATAATTGTAATGTGATATAAAGTATCTGAACCATCTATTGGTAATACAAAAGTAGGTATAGCTAATATTATTGTTGAAGGAATACAAAATTTTTAGGCATAAGTAAAAGTGTAATTTTTTTCCCACCCAAGCTCACACATGCCCTCATTCCCTCATTTTTATCCATGAACTGCATGTTTAAAAAGCTTAGGTTAAGTCTTGAAATCAGATTTGTGAAATTTTAATGTACAATTCTAATTGATATTCCTAACTATAGTGATTCATCAGGAAAAGTTTAATTACAACCAGTATACTTTAAGAAGGTATTGAAGTGTGTAATATATTGAGGCAACAGTTTTATCGCATTTGTTGATTTTTCCCTCTATTTTTGAGTAACTATGAAGGTACTCTATGGAAAATTTAAGTATTCAGAATATTTCATTTTCCAAGCATTCTGGTTGCTTTAGGTTTTATTATATTCACATTCATTAATTACATGCCTTTGTGAAAGAATTACAAAATGAAAATCAAGGATGAAAGAAATTCAGATACTGTATGTTTAAGTTTTTAAATAGGTTTTAACAATTCTTGAAGTACTTATTATGTGCTGGCTCATTTAATTCATTGTCTCATCATCCCTGATATAGAGATGAAAACTCAGGGCTATACAACTAGTAAAGAGTAGAGCTAGATTTTAAACTGAAGTAGTCAGACCTTAAAGCCTACACTCTTAAGCCCTAAGCTGTTTGTTTTTAGCTCTTCAGTTATTAGTCAATATGAAATTTCCCTTTAGTGCAAAACATACCTGCTTGCTACCTCAAATTGTTAATGTTCTCCTTACTATTGCAGGTAAAATTCTCCCAGTGACTAAAAGGGATTTTCCAAAACCTACTTTTTAAATATTAATTATACCCAATTCTTCCATTAAATAAGTAGAATACTAGTTAGGACTGGAAAATAGATTTTGTTCTACAGAAATTTTTATTGTAATGGAGTTTCGCTAAAACGATGAAATCTGCTGGGCCTGGTGGTGCACACCTACAATCCCAGCGGCTTGGAAGGCTGAGGCAGGAGGATCATGAGTTCAAAGCCAGCTTCAGCAACTTCATGAGGCCCTAAGCAACTCAGCAAAGACCCTGTCTTTAAATAAAATACAAAAGAGGGCTGGGGATGCGCCTCAGTGGTTAAGAGCCTCCTGGGTTCAATCCCCAGTTAAAAAAAAAAAAAAAACCACATCAAATCTGCCTATGCCTTTTCCTGTCCTCCAAACGTACTTTCACATTTGCAATCTAAACTTTTATGTTTTGCATAACATACATATGTGATGCTGTTGTAAAATGTGTATATACATCTGAAGTAACATTGTGTGTGTGTGTGTGTGTGTGTATATTTTCCCCCAGTACTGATTATTAAACCCAGGGCCTTACAAATGCTTGGAAAGCATTTTACCACTGAACTACATCTCCACCCTTTTTTTTTTCTTTAATATTTTTAGTCATACATGAACACAATATTTTTATTTCTTCATTTTTATGTGGTGCTGAGGATCAAACCCAGTGCCTTACATGTGCAAGGCAAGCTCTCTGCCACGGAGCCACAACCCCAGCCTATCCACCCTTTTTAATTTTGACACAGTCTCACCAAGTTGCCCAGGCTGAATTTGAATCTGCCTCAGCTTCCTGAGTTGCCGGGATTACAAGCATGTGCAACTGAATGCTGCTTCCCAGCAGCTTTTTGATGGGTTATGATAGAGCAGGCTATGATTAGCTCAAATTTTTAAATAGTTCACATATCTAGTGATGTAGATAACCCAATTTACAGTTGCAAATAAAAATATTTTCATTATTTGAATTATAAGGGTAGAAGTGGGTCTATCTGAAAAAAAAAGAGTCATGTTTTTATCTTGAAATCTGGAATATGCTAAAAGTTTCTGTTTTAAATACTGAAAGAAACATTTATATTCAGAAATCTGTGAAGTTAAAAAGTATTGAAAAGACAACTTAAAAGCAGTCCTCTCTAACTAAGAATGTTAAATTGAAGTCTGATAAACTTTCTAATTATAATAGATCAGATTTTTCTTGCGTGAGTTGACATAAAATATGAGAAAAATATAAAAGATAAAATTACCCCTATGAACTTGGCAAATAATAATCTGGATAGAAGATGTGCCAGTGTCCTGATATGTGAGTTCTTCAGTGAGGCCATGTTATTATAATAACTTGAGTAGAGGAGTTCATTTAAATATACTTCTGAATAAATATATTTAATATAGATCAGTACTGTGTGTGTACTTACTAATGTTCTATGTTTACTTGTATCTTTGTAAAAATCTGTCACAGAATTTTATAATTTGCCAAGGATGCTGGGTCTAATACAATATATACCCCATTTTATCAGTTTAATTAATTGAAAATGCTATGGTCAAGACTAATATTCAGAATGTACATTTAGATATTTTTTTTGGAATAGGTATTTGGAACCCAACCAAATATTACTTCACATTGTTTACATTAAAAAAAAAGTTAATTTTTATATTTGCTAGTCCAGAATCTGATTTTTATTAATGGGGTTTAAGAAAAATGTATTTTCATGCTAAGAACATCATTTTTACCTAAATGGATAGGTTTTGTAGCATATAAGGAATGATGATGATTAAGTCTTTGGCATAAAAATAAATTACCACATTCTTTTCATATAAAAACTTACCTTCACTAATGTTCAGAGTATTACTAGATATCATATCCCA